AGGGGTTTTTAACAGTATAAAAGTACCCTGCCTAGATTAACCTTTACACAACTTTACAGATTACACAATTTAACAGATTACAGATTACAGATTACACAATTTAACAGATTACAACTTTAATACAATCCCAATCAAAGCTCTAAAAAATTTTGAGTGGGTCAGGTAAAACAAATTCTAACAGTGAGCTAACATACAAAAAGGGCAATGCAGTGGCATTTTCCTGAAAGACATCAAAAGAAATTAGGAAGCTGCAGTAATTAAAAGTATGGCACTAGCCAGGTAACATAAAAATGGATCACAAAATAGTTTCAAGAAAACAAAATAGATCAATGTACATGTGAAAGATTAGTATATGATAAAGAAGTTATTTTAAACCAACATAGAAAAGCCTGACAAAATAAAAGGTTAATTTGTGTCTTAAAAAAGATACAAATTTAAATGCTAGATGAATAAATGGTAACAAAAAACTATTAAGAAATTAGAAGAAAACACCAGATTTATATATTCTTGACAAGATAGGCACAAAACTCAGACACCAACAAAAGATTAAAGACTGAGCCACATTAAGAAAAAAATGATAAAAAGACATGATAAAGAAACATCCTAAACAAACTTTAAAGAATGTGTTATGTGCTAAAACTGGAGGGAATATGTTAATATAGGTAATAAAGGATTGAGTGTGTATGTGTGTGCATGCACATGTGTATGTTTATATCAAACCTTTTTAAGACAGTAAAACACATGTTACTGCCCCTGCAGAATCCCAAAATGATTCAGGAAATTAACACACCAGACACTAAGAAAAGTTGGGGAGTTGGGAGAGGAAGTATGATAAGAAGGTAATGAACTAAAGACAGGATGTTACAAGAAGATTTGTTTAATGAATGGTAAGAAACCTTAAACCCTCTTCTTTTCTGCCCAGCTATGGGATTTCAGGAGCTAGGTATACATTCTCCAGGCAGATCAGATGATCCTTAAATGAGAAACCACCTGACACAGGAGTAAGATATAAGAATACCAACACTGGGATTCCCCCAACAAAAACCTGAGTGGCCACTTGACCATGCTACTGTGAAGCTTGCCAGGCCAACTAACAGCCCACAAACAAGACCCACAGAGCTTACATTCCATTTATTAAAACCACATCTTTAACATGAACAGAAATCCAGATATCACACAAGTCAGAGACAAAAACAAGTAAACAGAAACACTTTAGAGGAAACAGTGCTGGGAGTAGAGGAAAACATCAACATTTCTTAATACCTTTTAAAAAATAATAAAAATACATTAACCCACATAACAAGAATAGGAGACTGTAAAAACAGGAACAATGAGGGACACATGGGTGGCTCAGTCAGTTAAGCAACCAACTCTTGATTTTGGTTCAGGTCATGATCTCATGCCTCATGGGATTAAGCCCCACACTGTCAGCATGGGGCCTGCTTGAGATTCTCTCTCCTTCTCTCTCTGTACCTCCTCTGCTCGCATACACATGCTGTCTCACAAAAATAAACTTAAAAAAAAAAACGGAACAATGAACAAGAAAGATTCTTGGACATTAAAAAACTGATGGCAGATATTAAAAATCCAATACAAGGGTCACAGAAATACCTCAAAAAGTCAAACAAAATCTGACATGAAAAAAGTAAAAGATAAGAAAATTAAATGACTAAAACAAGATCCAATGTCCAACAACTAAAACAGAGAAAAACATAGAAAGGAAATTAGCAACACAAAAATAAATACAGTACTAATTATTTTGTTTTATTTTAATTTTATTAAGTACACTCTACACCCAACATGTAGCTTAAACTCACACACAACCCCAAGATCAAGAGTTGCATGTTCTATGGACTAAGCCAGCCAGGTACCCTAATAATAACACTTCTCAGAACAGAAAGACATGAGCACCCTAGATTGAAAAGACCCACTAAGTAAAACACAATGAATTAGAAAAAGAAAACCCACGCCAAAGCATATCATTAGAAAACTGTATTTTGGGGGCACCTGGGTGGCTCAGTTGGTTAAGCATCTGACTCGACTTCAGCTCAGGTTATGACCTCACAGCTCATGAGATCAAGCCCATGTCTGTGCTAGTAGCACAGAGCCTGCTTGGGATTCTCTCTCTTCCTCTCTCTCTGCCCCTCCCCTGCTCATACTCTCTCAAAATAAGTAAATAAACAAAGATCTACTCTTTAAACAAAAAAACAAACAAAACTGCATTTTTATCAAAGATAAATCATTTTATAAGCTTCCATGAGGAAAAACAAGTCATATAAAGGGAATCCAGAAGAGCATTATCATACTTCTGAATAACAACACCAGAAGCAATATGAGAATGGAGAGATGCCTTCAAAGCCCTAAGGAAAAATTACTTCCAACTCGAAGTTCTATACCCCATTGGACCATCAACTAAGTGTTTCAGGCATACAAAATCTTAATTTTTTTCATCCCAAGCATCCTTTATCAAGAAGTTACACTCCTCTAAAGGCACACATCAATCAGGAAAAAGTAGCATCTAATAAGCTCTCAAAAATAGAGCCTGAAACCCAGGAAAGAAGTAAAGACATGCTAGAATTAGGAGAAGAAGGAAATTCCAAAATAACTGCTGTACGATAGATAGAAACAGAGACTAATCCAGACTACAGAAAAGAAGGTTCCAAGAGGAATACTCCGTCAAGAGGAAGGGTAAAAAATGGAATTTCTACATTTCTGAGTATAACTTTAACAGTTTTCAGATTAAGTAGAATAACATTAGATATATACACATTTTTAGTTTCAAAAAATGACTTAAAAAAGCATTCGTACATCGTGGAAAGTCTGTATTAGTACTGACTACTGAAATTAGCTGTTGGGAGGGAGTGGGAAATTTTAAATGTTCAAAGAAAAACTAAGCAAATGGGAAAAAAGAGGGAGAAATAAGAAAGGGTAATTAACTCCAAGAAAAATAGAAGGCTTTGAAACCTATCCATTGTGGAAAATAAGTAAAGGGAAAACAGAGTATACATTAGCTAAAGTTCTCCTCTACCATCACAGAATCTTAAGAATTGAAGAGACAGAAAAGAGCAGTAAAGAATTGCTATTATAAACATGTGAGAAAATGTCAGAAAAAACAGCTAAAATAGTTCAACAGGGGTTTAACACTTAAGCAGTTTAACACTGACTTTTTAAACTATATGCACATACTTTGATAAAAAAAGAAAACACATTTTAAAATGCTTATAATCAGTAAGAAAAAGACAATCCAAAAGTAAAATGAGCAAATGATATGAACAGGCAATGAGTAAATGGCTTATACGAGTATATGAAAAAAACAACAAACTAGGATGAACAATCTAGAGATACACAAACTAAAATAACGAGCTACCACTGGAAGTGGCATGGACGGCTTTGGGAAATAAGACTACTCATGTATACTGTGGGAATTTAAAAATGATACCACTTTTGAAATGACACTTGATAAAACTTAGCCCTGGATTCTCTGACAGAAATTCCATTTCTAGCATGCTCTACATAAATAATGACTTTGTACAGACATGTTTACTACAGCACTGATTATTTCCTATGAATAAGGATTTGGTCAAATAAAAGACAGTACCTTTGACACTACAAAATACTTATGCAATGGTTAAAAAAATACAGTAGGGAGAGATTCCAAAGCATTCTGTTATATTTTTTAAAAAATCATATATGTACAAAATGCACACATGTATGTACATCTATGTATGTATTAAAGAACACACAATTTATAAACCACAAAAGAAATGGGACTGGGGACATAAGGAACAGAGGTGTCAAATGAAGGAGGATATTTTTATGTGCAATTTTTATATTCATGCATAAGTTTATTACATGTATCATTTCTTTAAATAGTGAAAAAGAAATACATGTTAAACATTCAGTTTACCATTCATAAGTAGTTCTATTATCAACATCAGAATACTTATTCCTACTTTGAATACATTTGAATATCAATGTTTCCCATACCCTCTTATTGTGCTGTTTGTCTCAGGATCACCAGGGTCCAATGTTTCTTTTAAGAAGTTTATATAATGTATCCATAGGTCAACACTAAGAGGTATTGCCTGAAGCCCCCGCCGATACACCTAAGAAGAAAACAACAAACTGTACTTCAAATATTTAATTATTTCTTAACAGAGAGGCAACACTGTGTTATCCGGTGAACCTTAGAAATACTAATTACTGGAATTTTGTTTAAATAATCTACCATTACCATTTGGGTGGAGGTTGGATAGAACATGGCAATGTTCTGATCCCCACGTGCAGAGTCTTGATCTTCAAAGCGCAGCAGTCCCTGCATTCTGACCGGGTTGTGTGGGCAGGCTTTGGGTTACAGACCATAGGGCACAGACCCATTAGAGCATCAATGACAGCGTCTGACCAAAAATGCAATAAGACGTAGCAAATGTGACTAGCAAACCAACTATATTGTTTGGAAAATGAGAAATAAATGTAAGTGAGAGAAAAGCCCTGCCCTACTTGTTAAGCTGCAGTGTAATACAGAGGCTTGCACTGCAAAGCTTGACAAACTGTAGAGGTTTAACGCACCTGCCAACAAAGAGAGAAAATATTAGCTACAAATGCCACAAGAGTGACAAATGCAAATAAAATACCCTATAAAATTGTTTGACCATAAATCGTAGGTACTGTCAGCCAAAAAAAAAAAGTCTTTGTTTTGTTATTATTTGGCTTACAGTACCTAATGGAGACAATTTTATTCAGTAATGTACGCACCTCATCTGATTGTTTAATGTTGTCATGCCGCTTTTCAAGGTCTGCATACTTTTTCCAGTAACCATAGCAATACGGATAGTGTATGAAAAATTTGTCAAACGCTTTCCTGGCAGCCATCAAGTGATTCTGATGAAAATAAAACAAGGTGTTTAAAAACCTTGGAGGTTTCTGTCAGAAAATATTTATTATTTCTTCCAAATGTAATATCTCAAAATAAATGACAGGTTTAAAAACCACACACACAACATCTCTTTTTCCTGCATATACAATCTTAATCCTTTGAAACAAAAGCACATAATTCTGTTGAATAGCAAGGTATTCAAAGGTAACCTTTTAAATCAGTGATTCTACACATGCATGCATGCACACACACACCAATTTTTACAAATGTTAGACTTTGACTCTATTAATATTGTCTTTCCATAACATACAAATGCTATGAAAGTTATCCTTTGAAGCCAAAAAATGTACATATCTAATGTTATTCAACTTAATCTGAAAATTATAAAAGATGCAACTTTAATTACAAAACAATAAAGCCTCATCAGGTATTACTTGATTAACCTGTCCCTCTAGTCCCATTTAAATAGTTACTAACCTCCTGTTCTACATACTGAAGCAAATATACCCAGCCTGTAAAATCCTGAGGATTGTTTTCTACAGTTTTCCAGAATTTTTCATATTCAGGAGGGAAATTTGCTTCCGTTTCTGTCACTGGAAGGTCCACAACATTTGTTATTTCATTTTCTTCTGTAGATGTATTCACATTAGGAGATCCATCAGGGGACTGTTCCATTTCCGTAACATTCATAATCTCAGTACTGAAATCAGCAGACTGTTCTACCACTACCTCTGAACTGTTGCCTGTGCTGCCATTAGTAGAATTTCTGTACTCTTCCATGTGAGAATTTTGCATAGTTGCTTATTTTGTCTTCAGTTAATGATCTGTGGAAACACAAAGAGGAACATCTTCCAAATGTTTATTTGTCATCATCGAAATCACCTTTTAAAAGCCACAGTTACTAAAGCAATAGTAATTTAGTTACTAAAGCAATATAGTAATTTCATTCTGATCTCTTCTGTTATTATTAGCAAGTTTATTAGTTTCTGTATTTAAATTTTTTAAGTTTATTTATTTATTTTGAGAGAGACAGAGCCAGCACAAGTGGAGGAAGGGCAGAGAGAAAGAGAGAGGAAGAGAGAATCTCAAGCAGGCTCCCAGCTGCCGGCGCAGAGTCCAATGTGGGGCTTGAAACCGTGAGATCATGACCTGAGCTGAAACAAAGAGTCAGACGCTTAAATGAGTGACCCAGGTGCCCTATTAGTTTCCGTACATATAAAAAAATAAAAAAATAAATAAAAAATTAATGTTTATCTATTTTTGAGAGAGAATGCAAGTAGGTGAGGGGCAGAGAGAGAGGGAAACACAGGATCTGAAGCAGGTTCCAGGCTAGTTTCTATATTATAAATGAATTTCTATAACATCTAAATTTCCCCAAAATTTTGCTATTTATTGCTGGGTGCTTGAGTAAAAATGAAGTAAAGGTGGATTTAATTCATTCTTCAATAATGAGTGTTATGCTCGCTCCCTCAAGAAATAATCATATCTAGAATTCAATGTTTCCTAGCTAGCTAAAAATAAAAAACCCAATGTCTAAATTTATCTTGCTATTAATCCTGGAAAACCAAAATATCTTTAATATTTGTTCTGTAGGATAAAAATAAAATTAACAAAACATATTCTGGTCTTCGATATAAATGTTTCAGAGAGAGGTTCATTACTTAGCTGAGGATAAAGTTTTAGAAAGGAGAAAGAAAACACAAATACTTATAAATTTTAAAACTGCTAGCAACTAGGTTTAACTTTTTAAATTTATTTTGAGAGAGAGAAAGCACGCACACGAGCATGCACAAGAGCAGGGGAGGAGCACAGTGAGAGGTAGAAAGAGTGAATCTCAAGCAGACTTCATGCTCTCAGAGCAAAGCCCGACACAAGGCTCAATCCCACAAACTATGAGATCATAACTTGAGCTGAAACCAAGAATCAGATGCTTAACCAGCTGAGCTACCCAGGTACCCTTAGATTTGATTTTATTACAGAAGATACAAAATAAGATTTTAAAAAATTAAAGTGATTTTTTAATGAATAAAGTTATTAAAAATACATTTATGAAAGTTTGACAATCTGGAAAGCAACTGCATAAAGTCTTTTAAATTAAATCATCTCAGGGGTGCCTGGGTGTCTCAGTTAAGCATCCAACTTTTGATTTCAGCTCAGGTCATGATCTCATGTTTTGTGATATCCAGCCCTGCATGGGTTCCATGCTGAGAAATGGAGCCTGTTTGGGATTCTCTCTCCCCCATCTGTCTGTACCTCCCGTGCTCATGCTCTACCCCCCATAAATAAACATTTTTGAAATATAATAAATTAATCATCTCATTAAGAGCACAAAATAGTAAGAGATTATTATTTTATCCTATAAAAATTGTTTAATGTTTATTTTGAGAGAAAGAGAAGGAAAGAGAGAGCTTACATGCACAAGTGAGTTGGAGAGGGGCGCAGAGAGAATCCCAAAGCAGGCTCCAAACTCTGCGCCGAGCCTGATGCAGGGGCATCTCACGACCTGAGCCACTATCAAAAGTCAGACCCATAACCAACTGAGCGACCCAGGCACCCCTATCCTATAAAATATTAACACAATAGATTTTAACAGCTGGCTTCATCCCTTTCACTAACAGTTTAAATAGAAACTGAATCATTGAATCATAAAACGTGTCTTATTTATTAAAGTGAGGGATTATTCTCAAAACTAAACAGACCATAAAACTGATTTACTCTTAAAATGTGCTCAGAATACACAATTACTTAATGTAGTACAATATAATTAAAAAGATGACTAAGACTCTAAGTAATTCAAAAAAAGAAATGAAAGTGACCAATAAACATGAAAGCATCATATCTTTACTAATAAGGATGTAAATTAAAATGAGATATTAAATTGGCAACAATTAGAAAGACATCTCTTGGGTGGACAGTCAAGTAAAATGTACCAAATGGAAATTGTGTGTATTTCATGTTATAGAAATAATCACACAAAAACATTTATTTGTTCAAAAGCATTCATTACAACACTGTATAACAGCAACCAGAGAAGGAAGTACTAACAGAATTGCTTTAGTAAATGGCATATTTATACAAAATAATAATTAAAAAGGAAATACATACATTTGTATTGATACAGAAAGATGTTCACTATGTATATACTATATACATGAAAACACAGAGACACACAGGTATTTATACCAAATAAAATGAAACACAATAAAAATATTTGATATTAACACCTGTTCTCCCTATATAACTGGGCTGATGATTACTTCTTTGGCTTATCTGCAATAATTTGGCTCAAGTGAAGGAAAAAAAGAGGCGTTTTGTTTCATTCTAAGAAAAGCCAGCTATGCATACCAATGGCTGCCTGGCTGCCTTTTTTTTTAATGTCTACTTTAAAAAGCTGGGTTTCCCGGGGGTGCCTGGGTAGCTCAGTCGGTCGGTTAAGGTACAACTTCGGCTCAGGTCATGATCTCAGGGTTTGTGGAATTCAAGCCCCACACTGGGCTCTCTGCCGTCAGCGCAGAGCCCACTTAGGATCCTCTATTTCTCTGTCTGCTCCTCCCCAGTTTATGTGCACACATACATACACACTCTCTCTCTCTCAAAAATAAATAAACATTTAAAATGAAACCTTAAAAAAAAAACTGAGTTTCCTTACAGTCTATACAGAAATTCTCAAATGCAGCTCCACTCAATAGTCACCTAGTAGGCCATTTTTTTAAAATACAGATTCCTTGGTCCCAACTCCAATGATTCTGAGATGTAGACTCAGCCCCAGAAAGTTGTACTTCTACCAAGTTCTCTAAGTAACTCAGAAGAACAGAAACTTACTCATGGGTAAATTCTGAACAATGGAACCACTGGATCAAAGAATACGTGTATATTAAATCTGAGAAGATGCTGACATTTCACCTCTAAAAAAATTGCATTAGCCATGTGGCAAGACACTGTTAGTTGCCTAATCCAATATCCCCTCTCACCATCTTCCTAATAAAACACTGTTCTTGGTCACAGTAGCAATATACCTAATCCCATATAAGGAAGGAATCATGAGACTGAAAAAGACATCTGCTACAGAGCCCTGGGAAAGATTCTGCTTTTCTGATTAAACAGAACAGTCACAAATAGTGTAGGTTCTACCAATTTCTTCTCACCTTGAACATTATATCTAAAACAACCTATGTCCGTGAAGCAGTCAATTAGGGGTTGGCCAGGAAAATTAAGAGAGCCATCCCTGGGGCACCTGCTGGCTCAGTAGGAAGAGCGTGCAACTCTTAGTTTGAGCCCCACATTGGGTGTAGAGATTACTTAAATAAACGTTTTTTTTTTCAAACATGCCAAGGGCACCGGGGTGGCTCAGTCAGTTAGGTGTCCAGCTCTTGATTTTTGGCTCAGGTTATGATCTCATGGTTCAGAGTATCGAGCCCCACGTCAGGCTCTGTGCTGATAGTGTGGATTCTCTCCCTTCCTCTCTCTCTGCCCCTCCTCTGCTCTCTCTCTCTCTCTCTCAAAATAAAGATTTTAATTTAAAAAAAATTTCAAATGCCAGCCCTAACATCATCAAGCTACTAATAACACAATGTCAACTTCACACAGTACGAGAAACTAAGTCCCTATTAGTTTAAACTACTATCAATAGACAGGTTTTCTATTATTTGCAGACAAATGAAGTCCTAATTTCTATTACTTGCAGACAAATGAAGTCCCACTAACAATGCATTAGAATGGCCATTTCTCCATTTCCCCTTGTCAGCAGTAAGTACCATAAAACTTAATTTTTATTTATCTGATTAAAAAAAAAGTAGTACCTCATTGTGATTTGCATTTAACTATGAAAAAGCCAAATTTCTATTTTTTTCTTTTTTTCTTAAATGTCTTTTCAGAACCTATATTCACATTTTCTATTGCATTACTAATTTTTATTCTTATTGGCTTATATAAGTTCTTTGTAAACTAAGAAAATATGATCTTCATTGTAAAACATTTTCTGTGAGTTTGCCTTCTTACTAGCTTATGTGTATAGGTCAATTGTCAAACAGATATGAAATCCAAACTTTAATATATGTTTAAAACATTATTTAAAAATACAGTATGAAGCAAATTTTTTCCCAACAAAGAAATTTAACATATTAAATCAGGAGACTTTTTGAGGCTGAATGCCACTGGAAGAATTAACTATAATCAGCTAAATCTAAGGAATGTTAAAAAAGAAGTGGGAAGGGATGGGAAGAGTAGAGAGAAGAAAAAAATAAAAAAGATGAGGGGGGAATTCAGATGGAAACAAAAAGTTTTTAATGCCTGATGTATATCCAGTACTATATTACATTGCTGGTAGAGCATACCTAAGTATAAGATAAAGTTCTTATCAATTCAGTGGGAGAGAGATCAAAAAACCAGGCAAAACAGAGAATTTCAAATGAAACAAAGTTTAGAGAAATCAACTGAAAATTACAGCCATCTAGAAGAGCCTCATGAAATACAGAATGTGATCTTAACTTTGAAAAGCTGTAAGTTTTAGAATAATAGGAAAATAATTACTCCAGAATAGAAGAAAAGTCCACTTGACTTGATAGAATAATCTTTCTTGACAGACAAACAGGTAGAAATTAGGACTGATTCAGAGACAAGAGAAACTGACCAGAATGAACAGGGTTTTATGGGGAAAGTGGAAGGTAAGCAGCAGGTAAGCAGGGTAGAGCCAGAGGGATTTGAGAAGAAAAGACAGAGATGAAGTCTACAGAGGATTCTGAGAAGAAATAAAACAAGCAGCAATCTTACCAGTATATAGTATAGGAGAATTCAAAGTACAGTATTACACTACCAGAAAAAATAT